GTGGGTATTTCTGGCTTCTTTATCAAAAATCAGGTGTCAATAGGTATGTGGATTTTTGTTTGGGTCTTCAATTTGATTCCATTGATCAACACGTGTCCCTTTTTTTTTTTTTATACCAATACCATCATGTGGTTTGGTTTTTAACTATAGGTTTGTAGTACAACTTGAAATTGGGAATAGTGATACCTCCTGCAGTTCTTGTATTATTGGGGATTGTTTTTAGCTATTCTAAATTTTTTGTGTTTATATATGAATCTGAAAATTGTCCTTTCAAGATCTGTGAATAATTGTGTTAGAATTTTATGGAGATTGCATTAAATCTGTATATTGCTTTGGGTAGAATGACCATTTTTACTTTATTAATCCTACGGATCCATGAGCATTGGAGATCATTCTACCTTCTGATACCTTCTTCAATTCTATTCCATTGATTAATGTGTCTGTTTCCATGCCCAAACTGTGTTGTTTTCATTGCTAACATTCTGTAGTACAATTTGAGATCAGGCATGATGATGCCATCCTGATGGTTTGGGGGTTCTTTGTTGTTTTGTTTTTTATCATTCAGGATTGTTTTGACTATCCTGAGATTTTTGTGTTTCCATATGAAGCTAAAATTTTTCCTTTCAAGATCTGTGAGCAATTGTGTTGGAATTTTGGTGAGGATTGCATTGAATCTGTAGAAATGCTCCTTCTGTTTCTATTTTATAATAATTTGAGGGGTATTGGCATTGATTATTCTTTGAAAGCCTGGTAGAATTCTGTGCTAAACCCATCTGTCCCTGGGATATGTTTGGTTGGGAGACCTTTAATGGATGCTTCCATTTCACTAGGAGTTACAGGTCTGTTTAAATTGCTCATCTGATCTTGAATCAACTTTGGTAGGTGCATATATTGACAAATTATCCATTTCTTTTCAATTTTCCAATTTGGTGGAGCATAGGTTTTTAAAGTATGATGATTCTCTGGATTTTCTTGGTGTCTGTTGCTATGTCTCCATTTCTTCTCTAGTTTTATTAATATGGATCTTGTCTTTTCACCTTTTAGTTAATTTGGGTATGGTTTATTAATCTTGTTGGTTTTTCTCAAAGAACCAACTCTTTGTTTCATTGATTCTTTGTATTGTTTTCTTTGTTTCTATTTTATTGATTTCAGCCCAGAGTTGATTATTTCTTGCCATGTACTTCTTTTGGGTATGATTGCTTCTTCTTGTTCCAGAGCTTTCAAGTGTGCTATTAAGTTCCTAGTATGAGATCTCTCCAATATTTTTATGTAGGCACTTATTGCTATAAACTTGCATCTTAGAACTGCCTGCATTGTGTTATATAAGTCTGGGTATGTTATGTATTCATTTTCATTCATTTCTAGAAAGTCTTTACTTAATTTCTGTCTCAATCCATTTTTTATTTCATAGTGAGTTGAGTACCTATGAGTTTGTAAGCTTTCAGTTGTTTTTGTTGTTGTTGATATCCAGTTTTAATCCATGGTGGTCAGATAGGATGCAGGGTCTTATTTCAATTTTCATCTATCTGTTGAGACTTGCTTTGAGTCCAAGTATGTAGTCAACTTCAGAGAAAGTTCTATGAGGTGCTGAGAAGAAGGTATATTCTTTTGTGTTTGGGTGAAATATTCTGTAAGTATCTGTTAGGTCCTTTTGGTTTATAATGTCTATTAGCTCCAGCACGTCTCTGTTTAGTTTTTTTCTGAATGACCTGTCTATTGGCAGGAGTGGGGTGTTGAAGTCATGCACTATCACTGTGTGAGAGTCAATATGTGATTTAAGCTGTAGTAGTGTTTATTTTACAAACTTGGGTGCTCTTGCATTTGGTGCACAGATGTGAAGAATTGCAATGTCCTCTTGGTGGATTTTTCCTCTGGGGAGTATGTAGTGTCCTTCCCTATCTCTTCTGATGAGTTTTGGTTTGAAGTCTTTTTTGTCAGATATTGAAATGATGACACTGGCTTCATTTCTTAGGTCCATTTGCTTAGAATCTTTTTCATCCTTTTACCCCAAGGTGATGTTCATCTTTAATATTACAGTGTGTTTCTTGGATGCAGCAGAAGGATGGATCCTGTTTTTATATTTAAGATGTTAGTCTTTTTGGTTTTTGAGACAGGGTTTCTCTGTGTAGCTTTGTGCCTTTCCTGGAACTCACTCTGTAGACCAGGCTGGCCTCGAACTCACAGAGATCCGCTTGCCTCTGCCTCCCGAGTGCTGGGATTAAAGGTGTGCGCCACCACCGCCTGGCCAAGATGTTAGTCTTTTTATTGGTGAATTGAGATCATTGATGTTGAGAGCTATCGATGAACGTTGTTGATTCTTGTCATTTTGTTGTTGTGGTATGGGTTCCCCCTTTTGATTTTATGGTCTGGGGTTATTTATATTCCTTGTGTTTTCTGGGTGTGGTGATCCTCTTCATATTGAAGTTTTCCTTCTAGCACCTTCTATAGGGCTGGGTTTGTACATAGATATTACTTAGATTTGGTTTTATTGTGGAATATCTTTCTTTCTCCTATTGTGATTGAAAGTTTTGCTGGGCTGGCATCTGTGGTCTCTTAGAGTCAGCAGAGCATGTGTCTAGGACCTTCTGGCTTTTAGAGTCTCCCTTTAAAAGTCAGGTGTTTAGCCAGGCAGTGGTGGCACACACCTTTAATCCCAGCACTCGGGAGGCAGAGGCAGGCAGATCACTTGAGTTTGAGGCCAGCCTGGTCTACAGAGCGAGATCCAGGACAGGCACCAAAACTACACAGAGAAACCGTGTCTGGAAAAACAAACAACAAAGCAAAAGTCAGGGGTTATTTTAATAGATCTGCCTTTATATGTTAATTGGTCTTTTCCCCTTGCAGCTTTTAATATTCTTTCTTTGTTCTATATGCTTAGTGTTTTGATTATTATGTGCCAAGGGAAATTTCTTTTCTGTTACAGCCTATTTGGTATTCTATATGCTTCTTGTATATTGATAGACATTTCCTTCTTTAACTTATGAAATTTTCGTCTATGATCTTGTACCTTTGACCTGGTTTTTTTCTCCGTCCTCTATTCCTATTTGGTCTTTTAGAAGTATCCAAGATTCCCTGGATGTTTTTTGCCTGGATTATTTTTAGGTTTGACATTTTCTTTGGCTGAGATATCCATTTCTTCTATCTTATCTTCAATGCCTAAGATTCTCTCTTCCATCTCTTGTATTCTGTTGATAAAGCTTGCCTCTGAGGTCCTTGTTCGAGTTCCTAAATTTTTCATTTCCAGTTTTCCCTCAGTTTAGGTTTTCTTTATTAATTCTATCAGGGCAAAAAATAATCCACAAAGAGACAAGTACGAAACTCGGCTCAGCCCAATTTTATTGTAACTGGTTCTGGACCAGGACTTGTAGAGTCTGGCCCAGATCAGTTTACTTTAGCTATATTCAAGCACAGCACAATTTTGAAAAAGGTGTTCAGAGAATTAACTCAATCCCAAGTGCACAACAATTTAAGACATGTTTATATTGAGAGTCCTTACAAAGGACATCCATCTTTCACAAGAATGGGTACTGTTGACTCAGAGATAGTTCTCAAGGTCTAGGGAGTTTGAGTGAGGTAAACTGCGGGTGTCAGGATTGGCCTGGCCCTAAGATAACACAGAAATCACTTAAGCTGCTGTAAGCACATGTGACATCACTTGTAAGAGTGGGTTTTATGGTCTAAAAGCAATGCTCAGGATTTAGGGGGAAAGGTCTTGGATAAGTAGAAACATAAATTCTGGAAGATAAGGCAGAGCCTGTCTCATTAGATAGCAAAGGATCACCAGGATATAAAACAACATCATTTCTAGTTCCAGGAAGAACAGCTTCACACCTCATTCCTTTGAAGAGGTGAGCTGTGTGTTAAACTTCCCTGGCTTCTCCAGTGCTTACGTGTGTGCACAAGGCATTTTTACCCTCTACACCCCTGGTACACACATGATTACTATACAACACCTGATTAATGGTCTTAAAACATATTTGAATGAAGCTATCCATTCAATTCATTTTGATTCAAGTAATCCTAGCACTTGGCTGCCTGAGGCAGGAGGAACACAAGTTTCAGGCTAGTACAGGCTCATGGTCTGCGTACTGAGATCTTGTCTCAAATAACAGCCAAACAACTAAACCATTCATTCTCTCTCTCTCTCTCTCTCTCTCTCTCTCTCTCTCTCTCTCTCTCTCTCTCTCGTGTGTGTGTGTGTGTGTGTGTGTGTGTGTGTGTGTGTTCATGTTCATGTGGAATGAAAGTCTAACAGGACCAATCTTGACGGGCACATGTTTCCAATAGAGCTATGTAGGGTGCCCCTTGCTATAGCCTGAGATGGCGCTGTGTACCTCCGTCTCCACACACCGCACTGTGTTCTTGGTTGAAAGGCCCCTCTGTGCTGGGGCCCCTGGTGGCTCTCTCCTCTGCATGCGCATCTTAGTTCCTTTGTGACAGCTTGTGTCCCTTTCATAGCTCCTTACATTTATGTCTCTTTGGCATCAACTGGATTCTTGGAGCTGGTCCTGTCTCTGCTGACCTTTACTCCAGTTCCCGGAGCTCTGCAGAGTGATTTTGATAGGACAGGACAGGACAGGAATAGGACAGGACAGGAAGAGGACAGGAGAGGACAGGAAGAGGACAGGACAGGAAGAGGACAGGAGAGGACAGGACAGGACAAGGACAGGACAGGAAGAGGACAGGAGAGGACAGGAAGAGGACAGGAGAGGACAGGAAGAGGACAGGA